AGTGCAGTTCTCAGTGCATGGACTCAGCTACTAAAACATTTTGTGGAAGCAAACAAGCCTTCTTTATGATGTTGGTCATTTTTCTCAATCGACTCCGCGCTTTGAGCTACATCAGAACACAGTAGATGTGTGCGTGGGGTATTGCCCAACTAGAACTGGAGTCCTCACGTCACCCAGGTCACGCCCAGCTAATCACTCAGGTCAGCAGAACTCCTGCTCGCGACTCAACACATTTACCGTAAAAGCCCGTTAACACGCATGCACTCGCTATTGCAGACCAGTGGAGAGCACACATCATATGGAGGATTCATGGAGTGCTGGGCAACCGAATCTGGCATGTGATAATCATGTAGGATAGTCCACGCACGAGGTGCAACCCATGAAATGGGCACCCATGAACTGGGCGGAGTGTGGACGGCCTGTATGATAGTGTGTATGTATTTCCACGCACAAAGTGCAGCCCATGAGATGGGCGCCCATGAAATGGACGGAGTGTGGACGGCCCACGCACACGAGGTGCAGCCCATGAAACGGGCACCCATGAACTGGGCGGAGTGTGGACGGCCTGTATGATAGTGTGTATGTATGTCCACGCACAAAGTGCAGCCCATGAGATGGGCGCCCATGAAATGGACGGAGTGTGGACGGCCCACGCACGAAGTGCAATGCCCGTTAGGAGGCAGGAGTGTGGGAGTATGAGTGTGATGGCCGAAGGCCGTGATAATTGCCAGATGAGAGGAGATAGCTGGCCCAGCACTCCTATTTATTTTCGTCTTGTATGAATTATGATACCTGTGTTGAATCAAGGATATCAATATTATTCATAGATGGGAAGAGGTGGGTGGGTGAGAAAGGAACAAACCGGTGTTCTTCTCACTACCCAAGCAAAGCAAATATGAAGTAGCAATACGGCCAGCGCGAAGTATGGTGTATGCGTTAAGGGTTCAAGCTCCGATGTGTGCTGCAGCCGCATATGGCTGGTTGGCTGGCGAGTTCAGGTGAGTTCCGGCGTACGCATGTTACATGCCACCACAGCGTGCATGTACGTGTTACTTGACATGCATCAATGAATAGCGTGGGATCTGCGGGCTCTTTGGAAGCCGCTGGAGAGCGTGTGAAGTGGTGGCTTGTGCAATGTGTTAACCTACATTACCGCAAGCTCTAATGTGCTATGTATCGGCCCCGGGCGTATAGAATAGCAGCCTCGATTTCCTGGGCGTATACAAGGACACGGGCGTTATTTTGGAACCGGGCGTATACTGGGAATAGGGATAGCAGTAAGTATTGGGTATCAGTACCTATACATGTACTGGTGCTGCCGGCATACCTGGGCGTATTGTAAATAATTAGAGATAACACTGTGGTAAATCGACTGCTTGTATTGTTACAATAGTTCTGACGATATTAGGTATTTGATTGTATTCTTACTTTGTAGCTGCGTCCAGGCTCGTTGGAATAGTTAGCCGAATTCTCCGCCGAGTTCTAGTTCCCTAGCTTCTCGAAGAATTCTCATTACGGACTCTATTCTAGTTTCGAAGAGATTCATATTCTTGTGCATTTGTTCTCAAACAAATTCCTCGTCTTGTGCATTTGTTCTCAAACAAATTCTTCGTAGTATTTGCAGTACGTAGTCTCGCGCTCTTTGATTTGTTTGACTCACGCGTGACTTTCCTTTCTTTTCTTTTGTCATGTATGACGTATCGGTATGACGTGAGTGTGTACGCACTCTGTTTATGACCACGTGACTGCATGCTCACGTGGAACTACAGTCAGTAGGCTAGTGCATTTTAGCGACTGCAGCGATCCGATCTTCTTGCTGCAGCGCTGTTTCTTCTTCTTCACTTGTGTCTTTTCTTTGGTCGCTGCACTAGTTTGTGATTACCATGATTACGCGTCAATGGACGACATGGTCGCCATTTTGTGCATGTCCTTTTTCCTGATGGATCTGGGATCTCGTGGCAAAAGAACAGTTTCTTTTCTCCCAACTTTACTACTATTTCAATATTTCAGCTCTCTTGATTCCTTGTTGATAGTTGTGGCTCAGTGCATGTGCGAGTGTGCTGGAGTGTTAGCTGGAAGAGATAGAGAGCATAGTGGTGGAGTAACAGTATACAAGGGCAGGGGCGTTATTTCGGAACCGGGCGTATACTGGGATTTTGGGATAGCAGTAAGTATTGGGTATCAGTACCTGTACATGTACTGGTGTTGCCGGCATACCTGGGCGTATATATGGGCATGGGCGCTATTTTGAAACAAAAAATGTTGACTTCCCCTGACTGGGCGTGTACACGGAGGGTGGGCGTAATTTCGAGTGGGGGTATACAGAGGCATTTACGGTATTCCGTCCGATGTCATCCCCGCTTCGAGTGGGGAGCTTCATGCCCACGATAAAAGAGAACGTCATGATATCTGAATACTTCATCAGAGAAAGCTATTCGAGCTCAAAACGACACAAGACAATGGCCATGATAAAGATACTAGTACAGATCGCGATGTGACTGGCCTCCAATCCAAGTGCTGAAAAAGACTGGAAGTTTTCTTCAAAATAAGAATTGAAAAAAGGGCAGAGCGCTCGAGTGCGGCGAACACGGCCAAACGCCATGTTTTCCTTGGTAACGTGACGTCAGCCGCATTATCACCATGGCGAATTGCAGCGCTGATCTTGAAGTACAGCGGCACCAGAAAACTGTCCTTATTCTACATGAGTGGTCAGTAGGGATAGACTGGTCACTAGCCACACTGGTCAGTAGGGATAGACTGGTCACTAGTCACACTGGTCAGTAGGGATAGACTGGTCACTAGTCACACTGGTCAGTAGGGGTAGACTGGTCACTAGTCACACTGGTCAGTAGGGATAGACTGCTCACTAGTAACACTGGTCAGTAGGGATAGACTGGTGACTAGTAACACTGGTCAGTAGGGGTAGACTGGTGACTAGTAACACTGGTCAGTAGGGATAGACTGGTGACTAATAACACTGGTCAGTAGGGGTAGACTGGTGACTAGTAACACTGGTCAGTAGGGGTAGACTGGTGACTAGTAACACTGGTCAGTAGGGGTAGACTGGTGACTAGTAACACTGGTCAGTAGGGGTAGACTGGTGACTAGTAACACTGGTCAGTAGGGGTAGACTGGTGACTAGTAACACTGGTCAGTAGGGGTAGACTGGTCACTAGTCACACTGGTCAGTAGGGATAGACTGGTCACTAGTCACACTGGTCAGTAGGGATAGACTGGTCACTAGTCACACTGGTCAGTAGGGATAGACTGGTCACTAGTCACACTGGTCAGTAGGGGTAGACTGGTCACTAGTCACACTGGTCAGTAGGGGTAGACTGGTCACTAGTCACACTGGTCAGTAGGGATAGACTGGTGACTAGTAACACTGGTCAGTAGGGGTAGACTGGTGACTAGTAACACTGGTCAGTAGGGATAGACTGGTGACTAATAACACTGGTCAGTAGGGATAGACTGGTCACTAGTCACACTGGTCAGTAGGGGTAGACTGGTCACTAGTCACACTGGTCAGTAGGGGTAGACTGGTGACTAGTAACACTGGTCAGTAGGGGTAGACTGGTGACTAGTAACACTGGTCAGTAGGGGTAGACTGGTCACTAGTCACACTGGTCAGTAGGGGTAGACTGGTCACTAGTCACACTGGTCAGTAGGGATAGACTGGTCACTAGTCACACTGGTCAGTAGGGATAGACTGGTCACTAGTCACACTGGTCAGTAGGGATAGACTGGTCACTAGTCACACTGGTCAGTAGGGATAGACTGGTCACTAGTCACACTGGTCAATAAGGGTAGACTGGTCACTAGTCACACTGGTCAGTAGGGGTAGACTGGTCACTAGTCACACTGGTCAGTAGGGATAGACTGGTCACTAGTCACACTGGTCAGTAGGGGTAGACTGGTCACTAGTCACACTGGTCAGTAGGGGTAGACTGGTCACTAGTCACACTGGTCAGTAGGGATAGACTGGTCACTAGTCACACTGGTCAGTAGGGATAGACTGGTCACTAGTCACACTGGTCAGTAGGGATAGACTGGTCACTAGTCACACTGGTCAGTAGGGATAGACTGGTCACTAGTCACACTGGTCAATAAGGGTAGACTGGTCACTAGTCACACTGGTCAGTAGGGGTAGACTGGTCACTAGTCACACTGGTCAGTAGGGGTAGACTGGTCACTAGTCACACTGGTCAGTAGGGATAGACTGGTCACTAGTCACACTGGTCAGTAGGGGTAGACTGGTCACTAGTCACACTGGTCAGTAGGGGTAGACTGGTCACTAGTCACACTGGTCAGTAGGGATAGACTGGTCACTAGTCACACTGGTCAGTAGGGATAGACTGGTCACTAGTCACACTGGTCAGTAGGGGTAGACTGGTCACTAGTCACACTGGTCAGTAGGGGTAGACTGGTCACTAGTCACACTGGTCAGTAGGGATAGACTGGTCACTAGTCACACTGGTCAGTAGGGGTAGACTGGTCACTAGTCACACTGGTCAGTAGGGATAGACTGGTCACTAGTCACACTGGTCAGTAGGGATAGACTGGTCACTAGTCACACTGGTCAGTAGGGGTAGACTGGTCACTAGTCACACTGGTCAGTAGGGGTAGACTGGTCACTAGTCACACTGGTCAGTAGGGATAGACTGGTCACTAGTCACACTGGTCAGTAGGGGTAGACTGGTCACTAGTCACACTGGTCAGTAGGGATAGACTGGTCACTAGTCACACTGGTCAGTAGGGGTAGACTGGTCACTAGTCACACTGGTCAGTAGGGATAGACTGGTCACTAGTCACACTGGTCAGTAGGGGTAGACTGGTCACTAGTCACACTGGTCAGTAGGGATAGACTGGTCACTAGTCACACTGGTCAGTAGGGGTAGACTGGTCACTAGTCACACTGGTCAGTAGGGGTAGACTGGTCACTAGTCACACTGATCTTTAGTTATAGGTTTTACAGCAGACCTTGAAAAAAATGTACTCACCTTGTTGAATGGTGGTAACAGCTGCTGAGACACGTGAAAGCTTATCACTAGGGTCCTGCTGGTGCTGTTGCAGTTGATCAATAGTGGTGGTACTTCTAGCACTTTGCTCCAGTAGTTGTCCAATGCTTGTGGAGGTTGTAGCACTTTGCTCCTGTAGTTGACGGACAGTTGTGTTGGTTTGGTTTTGCATTTCCACTATGCGTTCACATGCTGCAGTTGTATTTTGCTCACCTATATACATGATAAGATAGGTACACATAAACACTCTCTCACATGCACACACATGTGTATGCACCCGTGTACGAATACACAAGTACACACACACACATATACATGTATATACAAACACACAGACACACACACACAGCAGGCAAACACCTTCCCACAAAACACACGCACACATGCACACATGTGCACGCACACACGCACACACGCACACACACAAGCACACACACGCACACATACACACACACACACACACACACGCGCGCGCACACACACACACACACACACGCGCACGCACACACACACACACACAAAGGCAGAGAAAATGGAGACAACCGGCGTTATTATTGTTGTAACGCTTTGTTTGATGCGCATAGCAATACTAAGGCAATCTCAGACCACTGATATCCTCTACATCACCTGACAACTGATATCCTCTACATCACCTGACAACTGATATCCTCTACATCACCTGACAACTGATAACCTCTACATCACCTGACAACTGATAACCTCTACATCACCTGACAACTGATAACCTCTACATCACCTGGCTGCAAACATATTTCCAGGCAACTAGTTTAGTCTAACATTAAAGTTAGTGAGACATGATGCGGATGGTGTCAATTTACATGTGAGTTGAAAAGAAGGAGAGGTGACAGTCAAGTCTCAGCAATGGCGGCCAGGTGACTACAGTCAACTTTGGGTATAACAACACTCGACGGGGTATCAGAAAAGTGTCCTTATTCGCGAAGTGTCGTTATACCCGAAGTCTCATTATATATATATATGTATTACAGTTACTCAATCTGCGGACACATTTCTTTATTACAGTTAGATGGGACTTTGCTCTGGGCATGGAAATTCTGTCGTTATTCGCGAATTGTTGTGCTCGAGAGTTTTCACTTATTCTGGTGTCCATATTTTGACATTTTTTGTTTTCGTTTAGAAGCGTGGATGCATCAGTGCGAATCCATCTTCACCTTTTCAGCTAAGCACAGACCGCACCTTTGAATTCTTTATTCTCACGATGGCACCATCGCCAATAAGAGATACGTTTATGAGGAGGTGAGATTCTGTGAGTGGGGCTGTGGGTTATGCAGTTGGAAAGTAATGTACCCCACTTTCTTTTTTGCAAGTATGGGAGAGGGCGTGCACTGCAGGAGCAGAAGGAGTTAATCAGCAGTGAGCAGATTTCTTGTTTGAAAGCAGGGATGGAGGGAACATCACAAATGCTAGCAGGGAGGGCATCGTACCGTAGTGACGCGCGTATAAGCACATGTGCCTATACCCGGGCATAAGCACACCCTCACAAATAAGCGCATGGGCACAAATAAGCGCATGGGCTTATAAGTGAACCTAGATGCAGTCAACCCCAGGACACACAGACACCACAAAAACACCATATTCACATGGTCAAATGTGCATTGCGGTATTGCACTATGTGCAAAATTATGCATGGTACCGGTACACTTGCAACTCAAGCGCATGCGCCTATGTGTGAGACAAAACGACCCGCAAAAAATAGCAAATAACGCAAAAAAACTCACTGATAAGCTCATGTGACTTTAGGTGCGTCACTACAATAGTACTATATGGACTTGTACAGTGTGGAGTCTGTCACTACAATAGTATTATAGGGACTTGTACAGTGTGGAGTCTGTCACTACAATAGTATTATAGGGACTTGTACAGTGGGGAGTCTGTCACTACAATAGTATTATAGGGACTTGTACAGTGGGGAGTCTGTCACTACAATAGTATTATAGGGACTTGTACAGTGTGGAGTCTGTCACTACAATAGTATTATAGGGACTTGTACAGTGGGGAGTCTGTCACTACAATAGTATTATAGGGACTTGTACAGTGTGGAGTCTGTCACTACAATAGTATTATAGGGACTTGTACAGTGGGGAGTCTGTCACTACAATAGTATTATAGGGACTTGTACAGTGGGGAGTCTGTCACTACAATAGTATTATAGGGACTTGTACAGTGGGGAGTCTGCACAATGGTTGGTTCTGGTGGGTGGGAGGCGCCAAGTGCGGGTTAGTGGAAGGCTATACTGGGGGGGGGGGGGGGGGGGGAGGGGGGTAACTTGAGCGGGGACCTGTTTGTGATTTTGCTGTAGGTATTTGCTCTGTCGACGATGGATCACCCAATGGGCAATTTTTGACTTCTTTACATGCGATGTGACAAACCTAAAAGCAGATTATTGTAGAGAGAGAAGAAACCCTGGTGCCAGAATTTCCCATTTTTAGATAGGGTTGTGTGGGCAGGCATGTATTTACGGCCATTTCCCCACTTGTGTTTTAACCCTTTGGAGTCCGTAACTTTTTTGCTTCTGCAGAATTTGTGACAGTCACGAAAATGCGCACTCCATTTCCAACATAACTTTGGTTCTACTTCACCGATTTTGAAGATCTTGGGCTTGTTGGAAAGCTCTTGATGAGAGACATACAATGAGCCCAAACTCGCAAAGACACTATTCATTGTCCGCCACAACGCGCCCCAAACGCGAGTCCAGCACCAGATCAGAGACGAAATCGGTCTCCTGTAGCCATTTCACTGAATCTAGCTCGGAACTGTTCAATTTTTTTCGAGTAGAAGCTTACCTTGCCGTGACTTCGCGCCGCGCCGGTCCTGGCATATGTCGCCTGTCATGAAGCTGGGAAAATCCCTTTTTTTCACGCACTGCTGACTCGCAGCACGCAGCGCAGAAAATTCGAAATGTTTGATCGCTCGCCGCTCACTCAAACTTCATCGGAGAGACTTCGGACCTGTTCGAGGCGATAGCTGAGAGTTTTCTCTACCATCTAGACCCTTCGATTGTTGAATTTGGCCAAGAACCGAAAGTTTGACTGCGCCCACATGCATACAAAATGCCCATGGTTCGAAATCGAACCATGGACTCCAAAGGGTTAACCAACATTCCCTGATTTATGATGACACTACATCGGAGCGTTTACATCATTTCCGCAGAAATGTTGACAGCAAATGATTTACCTCTCGTCATTGTGTCGCTCAGCTGTGCCACTTGTTCATAGGTAGTCCGGGCTTCCAGTTGTATTTCATCCATCTTGTCGTTGGTTGTGCGAGCTTCAGCAGAGACCTCCTGCTGGACCTGAGTCATGCGGTTGTTGGTGACTTCAACCTGTGCAGAGAGATTATCCAACCTGGTGCCTAGTTGCTGATGAGATGTGGAGAGATCCCGTACGGCAGTTGACACACTCCTCATAGTGTCGAGTATAGTGGTAACGAGGCCTGCAGAAGCACCCAGAGATTCTTCCAGTGGAGATTCAGTCTGCGTAAATCGGGTAAAAGACAAACATGAAACCACACAACAGAGCAAGCAATGAAGATTGTCAGCAGGGAAAAATGTATAAAAAAGCAGCGTGGAGAAGATGGTTTAACCCTCTGATACAAGACCATACAAAATCATCTGTTTTTGGTCTATGTAGTTGCTTGCACTGAAATGCTCACAACTTATACTGTTCTTGACGAAAGTTCACAATCAAAATACCAGGAAAGAAGGAGAGCACCGCAGCTCTCCAATTCAACAATTACCAACGGGCTACAATGGAGCGTTGCACAATTGGAGCATTCTGCGATGAATGAGTGTGAAATGGCTGGCATCGAGGGAATTTGCTGGTATATTCAGCTCGGTGGACTATTCAAAGCGCTGCGGTATTTGATATGTGACAAGTGTGGTGTTGAGATTGGTCTCATTGTTCTCTGTGCAGGGGAAGGGGTCCTTCAATACAGGCCAAGGTTATGGAAATCTGATAACCAGAATCAAAAATATGGCCAGGGTGTAAGGGTTAACATAATAGCAATTCATAATATTGCAATTCCAGTTCAGGAAATCATCGTGAAAGCCGATAAAACCCAAACCCTGTAGTAAGTAGCAAAGGAGCAATACAGCAAGCTGATGAAAGACAATAGCAACAAAACTCTATGATCGCGCCTGAGGAAGCATACGATGAAGTCAGCAGCGAGGCAAAGGAGATCACAGAGGGCCTAAATCTTGCCATGTACGTGGCTAAGTCAGAAGCATTAAGTAATAGTGCTCAAAGACGATAAGGACAACTTCGCTAGAGCGCTGCCCTACAGACTCATTAAGCCGGCCAAGTCCGAAGTGGGTGTGTCCGTTCCTAATGGTTCAGGTAGAATCACCCATTCTGGACGTGCTGTTCACACACCCATCAGATATGCTGAATTCCATTATTTCTTGAGATTGTTTGCCAGGATACTTGCATAATGTCTCTCAGACTCTTTTTCTCTTCACATGGCACAGTCTTGACAGATTCTATTAGCCAATTTTTGCGCCACTCTTTTGTCTTTAGCTTTTTTCCTGCTTTGCTATCTCTCTCTCTCTCTCTCTCTCTCTCTCTCTCTCTCTCTCTCTCTCTCTTTGTTGCTGCGCGCCTTAAAAGGGGAGATGTAGTAAGATCGTGACTGTTATGCGTACACCACCCTACACTTATGATTGTATGCACTGCATGCCGTATGTACGTCATGCAGGTTATCACCCGTAGGCCAGAACGTTTGGTGGGCTTCCCTCACGGGCTCGGGAATTCTTTGTGTTTCACTGACCTGCTGGTTGTGCATGTTCTTACTCCTCATCAGTTTACTCTTCTATTATCTCATCATCCAAACTATATAGAGAATAGTACTACATGGTACTGGAGAGAATTATGGCTGCTATGCGTGGCCAAACAGAAGTAAACCTATGGAGAAACACCATGTCTGTGATTGAGTGGTCTTATTAACCCTTTCGCTGCTGGCCTAGTTTCCCCCTGCCGGCTAAGCTTTCAGCGCACTTGCCTTCATTTCAGACCCTGCATGCACGTCGCCGAGCAAAATCTTTCGCTATGTTTGCATCTATTGATGTGTTTCCACGATCTATGGCTTGTTGGAAAGGTCTGAGCCAAGCGAAGACTCTCTGGCAGTTCTCAGCTCCATAGGCATGCCAGTGTCACTTCTATGTGCTCTAGAAGATGCCCTTACATGTCTCAGAATCGTTAAAAAACTTCATAATACATTTTCGTTCGCCATCTCTCTCAAACTAAACCAAACTTCACGATTCAAACTGCGCTGCAAAGCTGAGATCCAAGCGATTTGTTTGATTCCCCACACGCATGCGCTGTAGCAAAGGGAAATTCCCTAAAAAAGAGCGAGTCGCGAGCAAAAGGTTTGAACTGATGGCCGGCCAGAAAGCGTATTTTTGATTTTTTGCAATTCTATTCGTCATCGCTCACTCAAATCTAGTCCTATCGCAAAGAACTTTATATCACTGGAAAGCTAAGCTCAATACCTTTCCAACGGTATTATCGTTTGTGATAATCGGCCACCGTTGACACGAGTTACGACAGTTTGTACAGTGACATATGCACTTCGTACTATTGCGTGGGCCGTGGAGCGAGATATCTCGTCATCCGCCGTTCAGGCACACTTTACAGAGCGAGATATCTCGTCATTAGCACTGAAAGGGTTAAGGAGATACCAGACAAGCAGCACCACATGTTTCTATTCCTTGATTTTGTCGAATTTTACCCCTTGATTGGTGAGCGAATCCTTTGTTCTCTGCTCTATCGTTTGCACAGCAGTTCACTCCAATCGAGCAGCATGATAATGGACATCATTCACGGCCGAAAATTGCTCCTTTTTATGATAGCGGCCATCCCTGGATATAAGCCAAGGACGATAATATTGTCCTTGGCTTATATCCAGGGATTGCCGTATATATAATATGTTCGATGTAACGATAGGCGGCTATGATGGTGCCAGGACCTGTAAGCTTGTGGGCACTTTTCAGCTCAACTAGCTCTCAAACAACGTGGATATAGATCTTCAAGCGCTTTGACCTGGGAATGACTATCGAACCAAACTTTAAAATACAGTAGTGGATTTCTTGCATATCACCATGAACCTGGATATGGGGAAATTTCAACCTCTCCGAAAGCCAAATGACAAACCCCTCTACGTTAGCAAACAGATCAACCATCCGCCCGGGATCACCACCAAAATGCCTGCTGCTGTCAACAAGCATATTTCCCCAATATCGACCAGTGACGCATTGAGGCATTCAACCCCGCAGCACCATGCACCCAGAGCTAATTGTAGTGTAGTGGATAAACAGATATCTTGGCCTATCAGTCCGACGCACAAGAGCAGCGGAGCAGGAAGAGCCGTAGCCGGAGGGTTATATGGTTCACCCCCCCCCCCCCCCCGTCCCTTCCCTCCCCTGCCTTACTCCAAGAACCTGAGTACTAATGTCGGCGGTAGATTCCTGAGCCTTGTTTCCAAGCACTTCCCGAAGACATAAAAGCTCCGGAAGATCTTCAATCGCAATACCCTGGAAGTGAGCTACAGCTGTGTGCATAACATGGGGTCAGTGATCAGCAGCCACAATGAGAATAACCTGCAACAGCCTAAGCAAACTAAGGCAAGTAACTCCAGATTCAAGGAATCCAGCTCACTTCGGGGAGAGTACCAAGCCAAGGAAACAGTGTACGAACACAAGCAACCCAGCTCACTGCAGGGAGAGTGCCAAGCCAAGGAAATGGTGTATGAACACAAGGAATCCAGGTCACTGCAGGGAGGGTGCCATGCCGAGGAAACAGTGTACGAACACAAGGAATCCAGCTCAATGCAGGGAGAGTGCCAAGCCAAGGAAATAGTGTATGAACAGGAGGAATCCTGCTCAGTGCGGGGTGAGTACCAAGCCAAGGAAACAGTGTACGAACACAAGGAATCCTGCTCAGTGCAGGGAGAGTGCCAAGCCAAGAAAATAGTGCACGAACACAAGGAATCCTGTTCAGTGCGGGGGGAGTGCCAAGCCAAGGAAATAGTGTATGAACACAAGTAATCCTGCTCACTGCAGGGAGAGTGCCAAGCCAAGAAAATAGTGCACGAACACAAGGAATCCTGTTCACTGCAGGGAGAGTGCCAAGCCAAGGAAATAGTGTATGAACACAAGGAATCCTGCTCACTGCAGGGAGAGTGCCAAGCCAAGGAAATAGTGTATGAACATGGTTGAATCTAGCAACAGGGACTACATATACAGCATCTCACCTTCTCATAAACGTTTCTCTTATTGGCGATGGTGCCAAGGAAAGAAGGTGTGGAACTGCTTACCCTATCCCGCTGAAAGGTTGTTACAGTGTACTTGAAAAAGGCTAGTTTGCCGTCATCGCCTGCTACCAGGAGTCATGGATCATTGAAAAAGACGTATATACAGTCAACTTCGCGAATAACGACATTTGGCGGGGCATCAGAAAAGTTTCCTTATTCGCGAAGTGTCCTTATACTCGAAGTCCCATTTGAATGTATGTGAACCAATATTTTGTATAGTATGATATGCATATAAAAATGAAGCTCCTTTCATGCTCTATGCCAGTGTATACTTTATTTTCATATTACAATTGAAAGGAACTATACAGTCCATATGGAAGGTGGGAAATAGATTGAAAAATTAGCCTTTGGAGCCATCTACAGGGACATGTACATATAGATGTATGATGATTACTGTACAATCATGTACATTGTACACCATACAACTACATGTACATGTACCTGTGCTGATCACTCCAACTATATTCAGAAGCAAAATAAAAAATAAATAAAAAATAAAATAAAAGCACCCCCCCCCCCCTTGGCTGCATCTTCTTGCATGTGTGCCTTTATCCATCGCCATGGGTTCTGGTACTTCTGCATGACAGGTACTTGAAATAGCTATCAAAAGCCGAGAAAGTCGTTATTCAAGCAGTGAATATGACCTCGGGGCACTAAAAGTATGTCGTTATTCGCGAATTGTCGTTATTCAGATAGTCGTTGCATCCAAAGTCAAATGTATACAGTTACATGGGACTTTGCTCTGGGCATGGAAATTCTGTCGTTATTCACGAATTGTGGTTATATCCGCAGTCGTTATTAGCGAAGTTGACTGTAAACGTCTTTAGCGTTGAATGGGTTAAAGCTTGGTCCGTCGAGTCGTCGACATTGTTCTGCCTCAATTTCTAGCTGATTTCCGTGCCCTTCGAGTGGACAAAATAGATTTGAAATAGTGCTCTGATAAGCGACAATTTTAATGATGCGGAGGAAGTCCATGTCATGTAGCTCCACAAGCACCCCCCCCCCCTGGAAATACCTCTACAAACACCAATCCCCCCACCCCCCCCACCCCTCCGGAAATACAATGTACCTCTACAAGTACCAACACCAGCCCCCCCCCCCCTCCAGAAATACCTCTCCAAGCACCCCCTCCCGAAAATACCTCTACAAGCACCACCCCCCCCCCTC